CGCCTCGCCGCGGGGCAGCGAGCCGGCGGGAATGGAGCCGTCCCGGTTCCACCGTAAAGCCTTGCTTAGCAGTTGGCCTAGCAAAACGGTCGCGTCTGCCCCGCCTCGGCGCCCTTCCCGCCCCCCGCCTGACACGCTCTCCGCCTGTACCGGCCGCGCCCGGGTTTTCCGCGGGGCAGCAGTCCTTGCTCTGGCCTGCGGTGCGTTGTCTGTCAGGGTAGTATTTCTGTCTCTTCCGACCTTCTGATTTAATGAGTGTGTTGTCTGACGTCTTGCTTCTTGAGCAGTGAGCCGAGTCCTGACATTGACTGCTGTTCTTGTTTTTCAGGAATAGCGTCAGAGGCTTAAGTCCGTTTGCTAATGAAGAGTATGAATGGTGTACGTAGAGTTGACCTAGAGGTTTATTAGCATTGCCATTTATGTTTTCTATGGTTTCTGCCTTTTCATTCTACAATACAGAGAATACGAATGAAAGATTTGTATTTGGGTTAGAGTTAAAGCTGTGCTGTGAAATAATCTTTCTCAGCTAAGGTGAAGATCTTTATATGAGCAGTGCAGATAAATGATTTTAAAATTAAAAGGAAAAACAAAGGAATAGCTAAGAGAAGAAAAGGTTTCCCTGTACAAATAAAGGTTTGTACGTAACTTCAACACAGAATTATTTAAAGATGAGCATTTCTAAAATTTGTCTTAGAACCACAGAATAGTTTGGGTTGGAAGGTACCTTTAAAGATCTCCTAGTCCAACCACCCTGCCATGGCCAGGGGCATCTTCCACTAGATCAGTCAAAGCCCTGTCCAGCCTGACCTTGACAGGTTATCCATCACCAGTGATGTATACTGTACAGCTTCCACTGAATCTTTTTGTACTTCCCATGTATTTATTAAAAGATTAATATGTCTTGAAATTTCTTACGGTTCAGTTCAAGAAAAGTTCCTAGGCTGCAGATCTTGTCACCAGCAGGAAATTGCTGGAAGTTGCTCACCTGAACATTCCTCGGCAGATCTTTTAGATGAACCTGTTCTAATCTGTGGCTTCAAGCAGTGAACAAAGGGTTTTCATGATAAGAGGCATAAATTATCTCAGAAGATCTAAAACACACATACAGAAAATGAGATAAAAGAAGTTATTACCTCACCTCTAGTAAGTGTCTTGAAAAGGTAGGTACTATAGAAGTACAACATCACCTTGCTGTTCTTCATAGTACTTAAAAGCATTTGAGATTGTAGAAAAAAAGGCAAGAGACCCTTGATGATCAGTGACACGTTTATGTTGCTCATTTTAGCACTTATGTATAACACTAACGTTTATATCTAGCAAAAAGAGTATGGCAAGCGTACGAGATCTTGTGAGAATTTTTTCCTCTGCTTATCCATGTCGCTTGTTAGAGGTTACTCTGTATGCTTCAAGGAACCTGACGTAAGATAGAATCTTTTAATGAGATTTTTCTCATGATTTTATGTCAAAGGAGATGAAAATAAGATCCCTCAGTCTTGTGGTGTTTGAATTTCCTCAGGGAAGACAATAACCCTCATGGCATATCCAGGACTTTGGATTCTCCATAATGCTACCTCTGGTGTCGTGGCTCTTTAGAAAAAAAGTTGCTGTCTTGTGGGATTAGCAGTCATGAGCTGTAGTTGATGACACTTTCTTTTTAGCTGACACTTGACTGAGATAGGAAACAGCTGCTGTCTGTATATCATCAAATGGAAGAGAGTAGAGCTACACCTCCAATTTGTTCTCTTTCTCTAAAGAAAATGAGCTGCAACTGTGGCAAGCCAGTAGCTCTGTGAATAGCATAATTTCTGAAGCGTAATTTCCAAAGGACTTTATCCCTTGGAATTTTCCATCCCATTGTCTCCCAGGCTTCCTTACCAGATCCTTCCTAAGCAAGTCAAAACTTGTGCTGTGTGAATGGCCCGCTGCTGCCAAACAGAATATATATAAGCTGGCTTCTACCTGTCTTTTTCTTTATGTGAAAGCACAATTTGTGTTTATTTTTTTCCTGTTCATTGCCAGTGGGTAGAAAAAAAGTACTATTTTAACTTAAACCAACTTTGAAAGCAGGTAGAAGCTGCTGAATGGATTAAAAAGTTACTGGAAACAGAAGGGATGCAATATAGTGACACAGCTGCTTTATTTAGAAGCAGAAGATGTATTGTTTACTGACTTTCAAAAATCATTGTGTTTATGTTCTCCAAAAGAGCTTTCAGGAGTCTTTAAGTACAAAGTTTTGTGTTTGGCTTATTCAAAGTTATAAGGAGGAATCAATCCTGATTCAAACTTGCTATTAGCTTTGTTTTTCTCATGGCCTAAAGGTAGATAGGATTAAAAACATCTCCTAGTTCATCTTACAGGCTTAAGGTGTCTTTGTATTGTGAATTTATTTCAGAATAATGATGGACAACTTTTTGCATCTTAGTATTGTAGTGCTATCAGGCATTGAATTTTTTGATTAAGAAGCAATTAGAATTTCAGGGAGTTACAGCTGCAGTAACAAATTTTTCATCTGATAAAGCCTTTGCTACCCAGCTAATCCGATTTTGCTGGGAATCTGAGCATTTTGCTCTTACACCAAAGCTGTAATTCAAGAAGGTGCTAGGACCTCCTTTGCCACCAATCATGCAACAGCTGACTCGCGTCCCTCCACTCAATGCTTGTTGACCCCCATGGCAGCTCTGGCATGGCCCTAGCAGTAGGAGCAAACACCGCTAATTGAGGAGAAAGCAAGAAGGATCTGCTCGCCGTGTACCTTTCCTCCCGTCAGAATAACAAGCTTGTCAGACAATTGAAAAGGAGAGAGGAAAAGAGAAATAGGAGATGCAGTGTGGCTAGGTAGGGACAGTGAAGTATGTTGTTTACTGTACCACACTAGTAGTGGTGCTTAGTAAATCTCATACCGTCTGTAACTGCACTTGTAAATAGCAATGCTACTGTGGAGTAGGCATGTTGTGAGTTACTACTTGAAGTGTTCAGTATGGATACTTCTGTGTGAGTTTACAAGATGTGTAACTACATCATCAATATTTTGCTTTTGTGATTATGGAACAGAAGAAACTATTTGTTCTGCCATTGTGAGGTGCATCTCTTGATCTGATTTGGGAAGAGTAGGATGCAATGAGCCTGCTTTTACAAATTTTACCATGTACCCGCACAGTCCGGGAATGACACCAGTTGTGAGAAACCATTTCTTTGTGGAGTGCCGAGCAGTTCTTACTAAACATCTTGGGCATGCTGTCTACTATTAAACTTCTTAATTTTATTCAGTAATAGCATGAGAAGTAGGGATCACATTTTTCCGCAGGCCATTTGTATTTAATAATGGGCTGATTATACATTGTAGATTTGCCACTCATGATCCAAACTCTAAGTTGAACAAAAAACGAAGTTATAAAATAGTCACTGTCACAATTTAATTTTTTCATTGGCTGCAGCGTTAGACACCGTGCACATCCACTGTAATAGTTACAGTGTGGAATACTTTTTTCTGCTGATACACAGAGCTTGGTGTTCAAACTCACCAAAAGTTTTCATTTTCAACTTTGTGACAGGGAAAGAAGGGGGAAACAGCTGTCGTCTTGCTAAAAACGTTACCTGTCTTACAGATGTTAAGAATCCAAACCACGCACCTGAACTCTGCCAAACAAGAGACCTACAGAGGTGCTGTAGGCCTGCCCAGTGCCATGGGACATCAGAGACTTAGCAGAGCTTTTCATTATTTCTTGACTAACTAAGTATGTTTTTTCCTGATAGAGAAGTATTTATTTTTCATGTTTTAAAGAGATGGTTCTATTATTAATGAACAAAGTATATTAATCGTGTACATAAAATGTTACTAATTTTTTTTAATTCTTAGGTAAATTAAAAGATAAGCTTTTTGGGCAGCCTTTAGAACAGAAAGAACATACTATCCCTTTGCTGCATGCAGCAACTTCTTAGGCTTTTTGTAAGGATATTCAGGAATGGAGTTCAGCTTTGAATTGCACAGGCTTTCTGTGGGGATAAGAGACATTCAGAGAAATAGAAGGCATGTGTTTTATTCCTGTTGTGCTATGGAGCCACTCTCTAGTTAGTTTTTGATTCTTGCTTGTGAGTTTGGTATGATAGAACTTTCACCATAACATTATTTCCTTAAATTTATCAAACACCGACAGATAGAATGTTAGCTGTATTGCAAATGTCAAAGTATTCAATACAACAAAGCAAAAATATTTCAGTATCTTCCTTTTTGAGAACTTTGACTTTCTTCCATGTCCATGTTTATAAAATGTTACTAATTTTTTTTAATTCTTAGGTAAATTAAAAGATAAGCTTTTTGGGCAGCCTTTAGAACAGAAAGAACATACTATCCCTTTGCTGCATGCAGCAACTTCTTAGGCTTTTTGTAAGGATATTCAGGAATGGAGTTCAGCTTTGAATTGCACAGGCTTTCTGTGGGGATAAGAGACATTCAGAGAAATAGAAGGCATGTGTTTTATTCCTGTTGTGCTATGGAGCCACTCTCTAGTTAGATTCTTGCTTGTGAGTTTGGTATGATAGAACTTTCACCATAACATTATTTCCTTAAATTTATCAAACACCGACAGATAGAATGTTAGCTGTATTGCAAATGTCAAAGTATTCAATACAACAAAGCAAAAATATTTCAGTATCTTCCTTTTTGAGAACTTTGACTTTCTTCCATGTCCATGTTTAAATTCCTGTAGCACCTTCTGTTACAAACTCATGCTTTTTGCACGCTGCCTTTATTAGAGTAAGGATGTCATCTGATTCAAAATGTGCTGGCATGTTAGAATGACTCTTACCTCTTCCATTCACACACACAGTTTTTACTGTTTCTTGAGATTCTGTAGTAAATTTGGGGTAAACAAAGTAAGCAGTGTTGTTTTCCACTTCAGAAGGGAGAGTTAGCTAATTTGACAGAAACTATGCTGCTCAGTTATCAAAAACACAAGAATGGTACAGGCTTATAATTAGGCAGACTTCTTCGATGAACAGCAAGAGAAGCCCGAACTTACTCATTATGGGAGAAGATGTCTTTTTTCTTTACACGGATAATTTTTCCCCTTCTGTTCGTCTACACTCTGGAAATCTCTAGTGTACAGATTTTTAGGGCAGGAGAGGCAAAAGAGCTACAAATGAAGATTTATATCCTTTTAGAGAGCTCTGTAGCAATGGCTGAATAACACCTACTCTGTTCATAGTTCCAGAAACTAC